TCCCAATTGCGAGTAGCAGTAATAGCAGCATTTAAGTTAGCAGGAGCTCCAGCTTGTACTCCAATAGCATACTTAGGTCTAAGTCCTTGGATGAAGAGTTGGAGAATAAAGTCATCAGGAAAACTATTGGTAGAGTCTACTCTGGCTAGTAATTTTTTAAAGCAGGTTATATAGGTGTCCATAGTATCTGTTTCTTGTTTGATTTTGAAAAGTTGTTTTTGCCACTTGATCTTTTGTTTGGTGGAGCTGAATTGGGTTTTGAAGAGATGATAGAAACTTCAATCTTGGCCAGCATTATTGTTAAAAATGTTGGGGGCTAGATTAAGATCTCGGAACCATTTAGCAGCAATTTCTTTTAAATAGGCAGGGGCAAGAGCAAGTTGTCAAGCAGCAGTCTAGTTGTTAGCAATAGTAGCATGTTCAAATTCTTCTAGCCATTCTACTGGATCTTGGGTTCTATCACTAGTGAAGAAATTTATTTTCATAAGAGACTTTTTACTGCTAGGAGTTAAAGCATTAGCCAACTAGGTCATTGCATTTGCAGTATTGTTTAAAGCAACATTAGCTATATTTAAAGGAGATATGACAGGTGGTTGTTGTGGGGTCCTACAAGTGGTTGTTGTAGAAGAAGTAGATTATTCTCAGGTTGTTCCGGTGATAGTAAGTTATTGTTTTGTTGCTCTAGTGGTGGTGGGTTATTTGCTTGTTGACCAGGCAGAGGTAGATTATCTTTTTGTTGTTCAAGAGGAGGTAAGTTGTTTTGTAGTTCAAAGGTTTCGGTTAGAGTAAAGATATCTTGAACTATACTATCTGAGCTTTCTTCTTCTTTAATAGATTCTTCTTGATGTATAGTTACTTCTCGTTGTAAGTGATGTTCTTCAATATATGCTTCTGGGATAGCAGCAAGCTCTATATCAATAAAATGTTCAGTTGGTTCTGCAACTTGTACTAGAGGTACTTCAAATATTTCTCTGGATGAGCACAGAGGAGGTTGATAATTAGGGTTGTTGGTTTTATCTTGGTAAGAGTGTAAGCTAGGAGAAGATAGAACTCGGTAGATAATGTGTTGGTCTCGGTAGCTAAAGCTATAAGTATCGTCTTGTGGTTGTTGTCGTATAGGAGAGCCTAAATTTCCAAAATATCTATCATATTGTTCAGGTTCTTCATATTCAAAACTATAGGCTAAATCGATGTAGTGATCAAAACAGTTTGGTATTCAAAGTCAATAGCAGATAGGGTAGTGAGGTTGGTATATCTTTGAAGTAATGCAAGAGCAATTTCTCTGGGTCTTCTATGTTTCTGTTATAGTGATAACTAAAAATAATATCTCTAATTGTAGTGCAAATAGAGGGTCTATCTTAGATTATGATAAGGTGTACAAGGCTAGTAGTAGTTCTGAAAGTATAACTATATGCATCATAGGTATTGGAATACCAATTCCAAAATCTTTCAAAAAGTATACAAAGAAAAGTGTGAGGACTAGTTCTAGGTGGAGATAACAAAGTTGACAAAAGAGGTCTGGGTTTAAGGTTTGTAAAGTAGTAAAGAAAAGGGCAGAGTTTTGTTGATGTTCGTGCTCGTGGTTTACAATATATTCATTGTGTAGTTCAGTGACTCTATCAGTCATAGAGCAAAGTTCAAGTGCTAATTGCTAGCAGAGAAAGAGAAAATAAAATAAAATAATGTTCTTGGGGTGGATCCTTACATCTACACTTTAGCTCATAAGAAATCTGTCAATATCCTTTAGGTTGGATCCTTATGCCTACACTTTGGCTCGTGAAGAATCCTTCAGTTGTTCTAGGAATACGTCCAGGCACTAGCTAAATAAATTCTTGGTAGCAAGAGTTGTCGTCTGCAATACTCAATTCAATCCGGGATAACTATTCTCTGGTAAACAGCTAATAATCAAGAGGGGTCTGGGATAATATCGTCTAGCAATGGTTTTAAAATATTTTCTGCCAAGAGACACCAAATGTTACAGTATCATAGCCTTCTTAATAGCAGTACTATAACAATGATATGGCTACAGGGATCTTTTACAGGTTTATAGTAGTGTCTAACAAGTAAGTATAATTTCTATTACAACTAGAAACTATATCCTTCTGTCTGTAGCAGTTTGGGCAGACAATAGTTTATAGATAAAATATATGTTTTATTAGAGAAAATAAGATAGGCTATCCTTAGGTTTCTATTTCTAAAAAATCCTATAATATTACAAGAGAGAATTTAGGGAAAAGGAAAGTCTGGGTCTAAGAGATAGACAGTGCAGGTTTAAGATTAATATGGGAAAATTTACATTCTTTTTATATCTTTAGAGCTAATCACTAATCATTGCAGCTAAGTGTAGTTTACTTAGTATTAAGCGTAAAATATAATCACTAATCATTAAGCGTTAAGCACTAATCGTAATTGCTAAGTGTAATCGCTAATCATTAATTGCTAAGCGTAATCGCTAATTGCTAATTGCTAATTGCTAAGCGTAATCGCTAATCACTAATCATTAATCATTAAGCGTTAAGTGTACTATATGTCTATTAAATTCTAATCTAATAATAATAACTAAATAATACTAAATAATAGTAAGATAATAATATAATAAATAATAAAATATAATATCGAAATAATAAACTAATAAAATAATAAACTGTTCTATAATAATTAATTTCATTTTTTAAGATAATATCTCTAACCTTTTTTTCGAATTCCTCACTATAATAATACTAATATAAAATTTCTTTTTGTTAAGTTTTTTTAATCTTGTTGAATAAATAAGCCAAATGTAATACAGAACCCAGAATTAAATTACAGTCAGCCCTCTTAGAACTAATCCTGTCAAAATCGATAACTTGCTAAAATCAGTTAAAAATCAATCTACCAGATACCCATTCTATAAGTAATAACCGATAACTTGCTATTTCTGATACTAAACCTATCCACCATGCATATCGGTTCTGAGAAGGCCAACTGTATCTTCATCTAGCATATTTTCAAGAATTTGTTTATCGATATAGTATTCCAAAAGCTTTTCTTATTAAGAAATATTACGGCTGATACTGACTTTTGGCTAATATTGAATCTAAAAAATCCTATTAGCTAAATTTTGCAGAACACTCTAACCCTAACCAATCAGATTAATTAAATTCAGCATCAGCCAAAATTCAGCATCAGCTATCACAAGAAATATAGATAACTCATATATTAAATCTTGTTCAACTTTTTAATTATAGAGAATTTTAATTTTAAAAAAATATTACTTTGTGTTTGACTAATTGGTTTTTCTGAAACGTTCTGATCGATTTTGGATATAAAATTCTTTTGTATTAGTTCTTGATTTTAGAAAATAGATGCTTCATTATTTTGTAATAGTATTTTATTTTAATTTCTCACTTCTATTTCATTTTTAATCTGTTCTTTATATACCTATTTCAGAAATTTGATCTTTTTATTTTAAAAGATATATCAGAATTTGGAGCATTATTAAGTTTATTTTTAGATAATTCTGAAAAAATATTATTCATTATATCAGATATTAGAGTATTCTTAGTTTGTAAGTCTATCTGTTCAGAAGTATCGTTAAAATTTTCTATTTTGGTGAAGATAGTTTTAGCTGTAGATTGTTCGATTCCTCTGGTATCATTATCTGATTTAGATGTGA